TTATCGCCTGCTCCGATTCTTCCTCACTTTTCCCAAAGTACCTAAAAAAACATACACAAATATTCAATTAATCAAAAATCAACTAACTATCTTTTGCCTACTCAGGAAAATATGTCCTATTGTCATATGTTTGAAAAAAAAAATGTATATAAAAGCTTAAGCTTATGCAAAATGAAGCTGAAATGAGAAAATTTTGCATGCTTATTTTACACATTTTTCCATCATAACTTTAAATATGAACAAATTTCATCAAAATAGTGAGTTTTGAAACTTGCATAGCATAAAATTTCTTTATTGATAAAACTGAATTTTTAAGATGCATTATAAATAATCTATGTTACAGAGACTAGTTTTGTAAACAGAACTTTGGATTTTTGTTATGCAAGCAAAACACATGTAAATGTTAAAACCCTACATAATTACTGTGTAAAAATTATCATACACTCAGGAAATTTTCCCTTAATAGCCCCACCAAGTGTAAAAAAAAATAAAAATACATATTTCAAATGTTAAAGTGACCTTTTGTATTTCCTCTGTACCCTCAGCTTAATTGGATTTTCTTTGACTTGTTTTGGAGGCTCATATTCAAACTTGATTGGTTCATCCGGTGGTAGCTCTGCCAGCTGATCAAACACTCTCTGTAAACATTTTAAAAACTGTTAATATCAAGTGTTTAAAGATCCTGAATGTTGTAATTGAGGTTGTATACCATACTTCAGTGAAATTTTATACAATTGTGCTTATAAAACAATTTCCAAACATCGAAGAATATGTAAAATATGTACTGCAAATATTTGTACATATAAAATGTAATTATTAAAATATATGCATTAATTTCTTATTGAAAAAAATGACTTAGACTTTATAGAAAATAAGTTTTTTATTACCTCCCTTTATTCATATGTTATGTTAAATTCGGTAATATCTTTATAAATAATGCTTTTTGGAACTTACAAAATCTCAATTTGAGCATCATATTTATGATATAAAACCATAAAATAATGTGTTACATTATGATGCATATCAAATGTTTAATATTTCCTCGGAGTTTTTATTTTGATGTGTTGTAGAAACATCTACTCAGGAAAGACAATAAGAAGAGTTTACAGCTTTCATAACTGGTGGAAGAAGATTCCAGGTGCCCTTACATCATTTCAGCACTATAACACTTTTACACCAACATTCAGAGAAAATCTTTACAAACATATTAAATCACATAATAAATTGGTTCAACATATTCGATCAAAGAGGATGTTCAGCCAAGGTACATGTATCAAACAAAGTATCACCCAAGTCTCAGAGATTTATCTTTAGCTGAGATATTAACAGCAGTGACAAATTTGTTAACTATTATATATTTTGTATATTAATGATGATTCTTACTTAGTTATCTACTTTTTGACTGAAATATAAATCATGTAACTGTTCACACAATTGTCATTTGAACCTGTGTTTACACATATATGCTATGCTTACTGTACTTATTAGTGGTGTAAGGAAACATTGTTAAAGATCTTACCAAAATCAAATAAGCCCCTAGGATTTATTTTTCAATTAAATTGTCATATATGATAATAATGTCAGTTACAACTAAAATGGAATATACACTACTGACTGATTCAAGCTCACAATTTTCTTATAACATATATGCATAGATCCCTAACCTGTCTAATTCTAATTATCAGATTAGTGGAAACAATAAGAATTTCACCACAACCTCTTTATTATCAAAAGAGTGCATGTCAATGTTTGTGGTTAAATTTATTGTCATTCAAATAAAGGGTCAGAGTAGGGATATATCAATCAACATTGAATCTGAGATAATAAGCAAATTAAGAACCTGTCTAGAAAGCAATATTTCTTTGAGCAGATTGTGATAATATCTTTTCTGTTTGTTCCTATACTCCTGATGCTTCATCCTCCTAATCATACTAGTGTATTTAGCAATATCTGGGGAATAGCTTCCATCTGTAATATAAACATATCATATTTTATGAATATGATCTAAAATAGCTGCAATATCATAGGTTCAAACAGTAATTAACAGAACAAATCATAAATTCATATTCAATGGGTGTAGTATCATATTCACTGGCTGAATTGGATTTTCCAAATCTAAAAATAGAATCAGACTTATATTCAATGACCATACAGCATAGACTATCTAAAATTGTTGCATTTTGTTCTTTATGGCATATGTGGTGTAGTGGTTAGCATAAAGGATTGGCAATCTAGTAACCCGTGGTTCAAGTCCCGACTGCGGCATGCTGAATTTTTGTGTGATTTTCCTGTGTATCTTTATAAACACCTCATGTTAATAACTGACAAAATTCAAAGCAGGTAAAGTCCTTAATACATTTATTATATGTAAGAAATGAAATACCTTACCAAGTATGCTTAAACATTTATCTAAACTTGTTTATCAATAGTTAAATTATATTTTTATGTTATGATTCAGCTTCATACTGTACACGCATTACAACAGTCATATGAGCACTTCAGCTTAACAGGTAAAAGAATATGTTAAATTCCACTCTGTGCATAATTTCAGGCATGGTGAGGCACTTAACCTGCTAAATAACTACATTACAAAACTGCATCTGAGTAGAACCATCAACCTTCATTGAGCTGTCTGAACAACTTCCTCACATGAAAGACTCCAAAGTCCCTGGCAGTCTTAAACTGTTCATGAGTCAGCAGAGATTCAAATCAGTGACCATTAAGGCTACTGATAGCCCAAAAACATTCAACTTAGGTAATTACACTAGGTAGTAAAACGATACAACAACTTGTGTCTTTTTTTTTGTTCACAGCTGAATAACTCCTGAAAATCATTCTGACATGTTAATGATTTGATTTACTTACCTTTAAGATGATACTGAAACTTTTGTAATGGGTTACCAAATTTAAAGTTGTCTCCATTAAAAAGTTTCCTGAAAAAAAAATGATGACATCAGAGGATACTGAATAAATTTGATACTATTGCTGTAATTATCGACTATTTACTTATTTTACATATACATGTATAAATTCAAGTATTGTAGTTACTTATATTTAATAACAATACTATTAACATTTAATATCCTTTGTAATTAAATATAAACATGAAATCTAAAGTAAATACAAATTATACAAGCCTATGCTCATTTCTGATAATCTTTCTATAACTACTGGTAATATGGTTTCTTTCTTATTTTAAAAATATTTCAGGTATATTTAATAACCTATATTCAAATTATTACACAGAAAAAATATTTTTTCTATCCTTTCACAACTACAATGCTATAAACTAAAATCTTTCGCAAAGGATTACATTTCACTTATGTCACAAATTAAAGGCACATTATGCATCAGAAATGCTATCATTTTTATTTCTCAAAATGTTAAATATTTGGTGTCTTGTTACAAGTTCCACAAAAAATACTTATTTGCCTTATAAATGAACTATCTTTGCATCTTTTGATTTGCTGGCAATTGGTATAATTATAATGAATTAGTATTTTGTATGGAAGTCAAAATACTATTTGTTTACATTTTGCTACCTTTACGACACATTACTGCACATTCAGCACTACTTTCTTCAGCTGTTAAATATCTTACATGTTCTAAATCCATTATTACAACATTATTAAACATGTGTTTTACATTTCTAAAGAATTTAATAAAAAAAAGGATTTCTGAGGCATAATGTGCTGAAATATAAATGTTTGCTATGTATGATTAATTTAATTATATATATCAATTTAACAGTAACATAGTAACAACTAGCAAATATATAGCCTTGCTAAGCAATCCCAAATTTTAATTCTGTGAAATTTTGTCCTCGCATAAACATCTGATTTTACAGTAGTAAGACTTGATATAATTTAATATTCTCACAACTGTAATTACCTCAGAGTATCCCTCCTTTCCTCATTTTCTTTCTCTGGAAATTTTGGTAAAAATGTCTGAAATCAAAAGACTTTCTAATATAAAGTGGTGCAAAAAAACTATGTTGACATGTGCAATAATAAAGTGACAAGGGAAATCAAACTTGAAAATAGTCTTGAGTTTTGTAAACTTGTGCCAAACTTTAAAGCAGGTTGACCACTACATATTGAAATATTTCAATCCAAAAAGAAGCAGTACCTTTATCTTGTAAGTATAATATATATAAGCACATTACCACCTCTGGGTGTGAATGCATGTATATTAAATGTATTAAGTTTAAGAAATGAGAGAAAAAAGAGAACAAAAACCAATTACAATAAGATCAATTAAAGCATTGATTATAGGCTGTGTCATAATTATTAAGATGTCTCAAGAGGTGCAGCGGTTAAGTGGTTGAATTGTCTTATTCTCAACACAAGTATTGTGAAATTCAAGCCCTTCTAGGTTCACAACCATGTTTCCTTATACAGAAAACAAAAGTAAGTTCCAGAAAGTGGATCTTGATGAGATTTGATTAACTTCATTTGTAAGAACCTGCATGATAATCAAGCATTAAAAACTAAGATGCTGCCAACCTACCATGAGATGCTGTCTCTGAGATTCAGTAAGGACTTTGTTCCAGGTTTCCTGACTCATTACACTGTGAAATATATGTTTCTGAAATAGAAAGACAGTTATTGATACTACCAACATAAGTAAAAATTTGACCAGAGGCAAGAATTCTCCTTAAATACTAATTTGAGTAAACTGTATAGTTACGGTTATTTTACTTTTACACCTACTAGCAGATGGTCAAATTACAATTGTTGATTCTTTTATCAAATTTTATTTTTTAGGAATTATTTATTTATATCTGCTATACATATTACTCTTTGATTACCTTACCAGTTTTATTCTGTATTCATTATTACTACAAATATTTTACAAACATCTCACTTTGTATAAAAACCTTATCAAATTAGTTAGCAAATCTAAAGGATAAAGTAGATGATTTATTATTGTGTAAATCAGAAATTTCTTTCTTTTTTTCAATACCATTACAGCTGAATCTTTATTCTAAGAATAACATTTATTTGTTCTAGCAGACATGATTTCGAAAATTATATTTACTTGTTCTAACAGACACTCCGGTACTTGAATCTCATCTGATCCCAGTAAACACCTCTCTAATTTCTCCATCTTCAGCACCTGCCCCGGCTGCCATTTCAAAGAATCCATTCCTCAAACTAGATCTGGAATTATAAATGTTTCAACTAAGATACTAACCTAAAACTGTTTCTTCATTTTTCATAAACTTTCTACATTTTATTATATATTATTTCTGCTGAATCACTTCCAAGTCACAGATTTGCTATAATAATAATAATAATAATAATAACACTAATAATAATGAAGATGATGATAATAATAATATAATAAGTTCCAAATTCAGTTCATTTCGTAAAGAGCACATCTGATTTTTAATATATTTTACAATGAATTTTCATATATAATTTTCAACCAAATGAATGCAAAAAAGATAATCCAATTCAGTTCATTTAGTAAAGAATATATCAAACGGTTAATGAATATGGTTTTAATGTAAAAACATTAAAACAATTAATATTTTCAATGTGTATCTTTTTATCAAAAACACTTTTTCCACATAAAGTCAGTGAAAATATAATTAAAACATATCCCCAAAAACAAACCAAGTCACTTTTAATAAATAACTGACAACCCTAGGAAAACCTTTTTTTCTAGAAAACTTTACTTCCTTTTACAATGCAAAGAAAATTATTGTACATGTAAATGTAATGTCGCCATATATATACATTAAGGCGTTGCCCACAGCAAACACATATAATTGTCAATAAAAATCATTTATACACTTCCCTCAAAACAAACGCCCCATTTTATAAAATACCCCCCCCCCCCCCCCCAAGAAAACCCTCTTCCAGAGAAAAATTCCCTTAATAAAGCAAATAAATGATCTAATATTTTATATCGCAGCTGTGTATATATAAACCAGTCTTTGTCTCAGGGACGTTGCCCACAGCAACTATTGTTGAAAATTACTGAAAATGCTTATAAAATCTGCAAAGAAGTCTTCGAGACACTACCCCCAAAACAAACCTAGCCACATTCTACAAAATTTAAAACTCCTTAGAAAACCCTTATCCCAGGGAAATTTCCCTTTAGGGTTTACAAGGCAAAATGACATGATCAAACATTTGAAAGGCCCCGCGAGGTCTGTAGCGCTCTTAGATAACATGTATGACGCGTATCAATTCAAATGAAATCAAATAAAAAGTAAATGAAAATTTCAAAAAATTATATATCCTATACCTAATGAGCTGTGAAAAAATCCTTAGTTAACTGGGCGCCGCCATTTTGAAATCCTTTTCAGCTAAATATAGATATCACAGCGCTTTAAATGAGCGTCTACATAATTCAGACTAATGCTAGCAGACCCATGCTTAATAACACTTCCGGTGAAAGAATGATGTACAAAATCAGAAAATTAACATTCATTTCATTCATAAGAACTAAAGAAACGATAATAAATGTAAAAAATTACTTTTAAATCCTTTTTGATAAATTAGCACATTAAAAATAACTTAAAAACAACATATGTGATTAGAGATTAACAGAAAATGGCGGCGGGTTTTTCCAAACACCAACGCATGCGCAGTGGTCCCTCTTCCGATGATAAGTTGAACACCACCAATTTATTCGTTTCTGTTTACGGTACAAAATACCTGCATTTACTTATTAACGATCTGGTTAACATGTACACTAAACATGTTATGCTTAAATCATAATTCATAAGAGCTTTCCGCGCCATAGGTAGCACCTAATTTCATATTAATATAACATTGAAAATTTTTTTTTTTAGTATATATTGATATTTTATCACATTTTAGGTCAAAAGTACATAAAATACTGAACGAAAAATAAAATAATGTTTTATCTAATATCCCGTTATAGGCTTTGCCTACTTTCATATTGTGCCTGAAACACAAAACCAATGGGGGCGTAAGAGTCTCAATGATCAAATTTTATTATCCTCAAGGTACTTTATACCGGGAGGTACTTTGTACCGGGAATGTCCAGATATTACAAACAATACTTACATAAAAAATTTCTTTTGTATGCAAGTGTTTTTCACATTAATTTCATACAAAATATAGCATTTTTTGAAGAAAATTCAAAGTTTTAATAACCCTATTCACATAAATGTGTTTTACGTATAAAAACCAGTAATATTGCTAACAATTTGGACCCATCATGATATTTTGAATGTGTGTGCAAATGCTTATCAAATTATTACCCTTTTTCTGTGTGATAACTGATAAATATTGAATAGAACTTTAGTATCATTAACAGTAATGGACCATTTACATATGTTTTTAACTTTTTATTGATTGCTTAAAAGTCATTCCTGGTATTAAGTACTTAAAAACAAAAATGGCTGCCACTCATATGAGGTTATTAACAGAACTATCTTTTTGATGTATAGAGTCAGTGTACCCGGTTCCGCACAGGACCCGGTCCCGCACACTTTCCCATTTTTCATTTTTTCTTAAAAAAATCAAATGAATTTATTTAGTTTTCATTTTTGTTTCACTGAACTGGCATGTTTTCAACAGGATATGATATAATCTGGGATCTTGCACCCCAGCCTCTCCCTAGACAGTGCAGACGAAAATGTAAATACATGTACATAGCTGTGTAGGTCACACATAAAAACAACTTATTCAGCAACTAAACCATGCTAATTTCTATTTTAATGTTAAGATCATTATAAAATATATATTTGAAAAGAAATGTATGTTTTTGTTATGGCAAATTTGCTGTTAGTTATGAAATATATGCACATGAATTAACTTCTCCCAACTACCAAACGCCAAGTCATTTCACCTTGATTCTTTTGTTTAAAATGATACCAAACTCTTAATCGAACAAATCATAACTAAACAGATGAAAAAACCTTCAATAATAATGTTTTATGTCTGTCTTTACTACCTACAAGTAGTTAAAAGTATATTTTAATTGCTGTTACATGTTTCCTGTGTGCTACTATGCTTGGAAATAAATGTTTGTATACTGTAGTAAGAATGTGCATTAAATTTATTTGAAGTCCGGAAAAATTTGCAAAGAAATATAACTTATCTGGACTTAGAGATGTTCAATAATTTATAAAACATGTTTAAAATGTAAAATAACCTTTCAGTATAAAAATGGCCTTGTGTGCGGAACCGAGTCCACTGTTTATCATATTTAGCCCATTCCTGTTGCTTAAAATCAAGTGCGCCTAGAAGTATGACCTACTTAAGATAGAAACGTTTCGGTAATCAGTTTTTATGGGCAAAGGATGTAATTTTCAAAATAATATCTATTATAAGTAGAATTTTTAACTATAAGATAATTTTCTTATTTTTACTTAAAAAAGTGTACGACTCCGGGTACACTGACTCTAGTTAAAATTTCTTTTGGATGATTGTTATTTTCATCAAAGAAATGGTACCTCCTACAGAAAATAACTTTTTTAAATTAGATTTTTTTTGTATTATATGATGGTGGACCTAATAAGGCTTACACTCCCGGTAGATAGTACAACCAGGATAAACAGTAAAAAGAAGGGTGAAGTGTCTGCACTGCTATTGCTAAGTCAATGGGATGGTGAAGTGTCTGTTGTACGTCGCTTCATGTATCAGTATCAGTTATTACCAGATTGTGTCGGCGTCCTCACATAAATGTCAAGAAATAATACGGCAAAAATTCATGTTGAAGAAAAAACAAAATGTGTTGTTGTTGTTGTCGCTGTTGTTGTTGTTGTTGTTAGTTAGTAAAACCGGAAGTCGAAAATGAAATAAATACTAAATACGATATATAGATCTACTAAAGAAACCAAAGTCAATATTTTAGTTCAACCCGACTTTCTCTAATTTCACGAATATATTAATCAAGTAATTTAGAAACTTATATTTTTATTCCAATATTTATTTTATTTTATCCAATCATATCATTAGCCGGTCTTTCACTTCCAAAATGGCTGTAAATCTCGTGTGTCGGATTCATCCAGTAGTGTTATTTACCATTGTTGATTCGTATGAGCGTCGGAACGAAGATGCAAGGCGTGTAATAGGAACATTACTAGGTATTCTATGATGAGAAAATTTCATAATTTTAGAATAACCTACCGATTATAATTTGCGTGTGAAAATATGTAGAGAATAATCAAATTCAAGAATGACAGACTATTACCAGTTCCTCTCCCTGATGGTTCTCTCCCAAACCGTTTCCTCCCCTGACGGTTCTCTCCCAAATTTTAAATATGCAGACAGTTCTCCCCCAATTTTTATTTGTTAGTTATCATTTTAGTTTTGACTTAATCTAATAATATTTCTTGAAGATTATTTTATTCACCTTCATTGTAAAGGTTAAGATTAATATGAAATTAGGCAAAGCCTATGAACGGGGAAGTCGGTAAAGGTTTTCCGTTTTAAAGGAGTCATTCGGTATTATATGTACCCACTTCCGTTTTCACTCGGAACACTCGACGATTATTATTAATCCGAAAAGTTGAGATTTGTTCTGTTATCGGAATACACCGCCTTTTATCATTCAGCAGTGTTTTTTTTCTCTACGTTGGGAATGGTGCCGGTACCAGACTGATTGGGAAAAAATGTGTTATTTTGACTTAAATTGGGAATTTTTTTTATGCATTTTTTCAGCAACAAATAAGATAGTCATTATGAATAAAGATAGCTAACAGCTTCCGCTGTTCAGGTAGAACTATTGAGTGATGATTTATATGGATATGTTGGATTTAAATGATTTCAGAGAAATCTCTTTTCCTTGTGGAAATTTTGAACAGCCATTTTGGGAATTTTAACATTGGAAATTGGGAATTTTAATGTCTATTTTCTATTGGGAATAGTACCGTTTTAGGGTAGTAGTTATATAAAGAAAAAAAACACTGTTGAGTTACATTGTAAATGGCGGTGCCTAACTAGAACTGACACTGAAAATTTCACTGATAGGTATAGAATTCTATATATTTTTGTAATTGTTTTTTAATTTGGTTTCCTTTTAAATATACACGTGTAGTCTATAGCCGGGCAAGCCAAAGCCTTTAACTTCCCCGTATTAGACAGTGATTGATATACATACACCTGTATTTATGTGAAGGTCTAGTGATATTCATCTATTTGTTAAATAGCGAATAAGGTGGTAACAAGTATGTTATAGAAAATAAATAAGCAACAACTGGTATGCAATCACATTTCACATTTACTTTTATACAAAATTGATTAAAGAACATGTAGTCATTAACATGAAACAATATATATTACCAAATAACTAATAAAAATATTTGTTTAATATGAAAAAGGCAAAGCCTCAAAGCGAGCTTGATGTACTTTTAACGTTAAATAGTATGAAATTATCGCTCATTTTTATTTCAAATGCTGTGGCGAGTGCGTGTGACATCACGCGTACTGTGTTAAATATGGCTCCGCCCCTGTCGTTAAATGAATAACGAGTTTTGAAAACGTTGATAAAACTTTGTTTATTTTATTTCACTCTATAATTTTTTAAGCGAAATAAAGATTATTAAAAGTGAAATAAATGTAAAACTTAAAACGTTTGCGACATTAAAATAGCGTACTTGATTTGATTGTTTTGCACGTGCTGTTTGGCACTACATTGTGACGTCAAGTAAACAATACTTTAAACGTCTGTGCAGCGTTAACGACTGAATAAAAGATATTGGTGTTCGGATTCATTTTCTTAGTTAGACCATTTTCTTTCATTCTAGATAGTTTTCACAACAAAATTCGACAAAAAATTGTTTTTATTTATCAGATTTTTCAAACAAAATGGCGCCTTCAATTTTCATTTTACATTTTCCGTTTTAAAACTGTCATTCGATATTTAATACACAGCTTCCGTTATTCTGGTTCCCTGTCCAATTATGGTTCCCATAGACGTGCGCGGGTGACCACTCTACACATCCGTTTTCAGTCAGAATTCCACAGTTTTTATCGTTATCTTTAAATTCGAAAAGTTGCGTTGTGTCCAATTCGGTACTTTGGACAAAAGTTTTCAAAACCATCACTTAGCAGGTACTCACATTACCGTAAAGCTCGGGCCAGCTCGTCAAGCTCGCTATCAACACCTTTTCACAGTTATTTTAATCATTGGATTACACCTTGATTCTTGAATAATGAATTAATAAACACTTTAATTATCTCTGACAGCAAACTTAACATACATGTGTATTGAACTCCTTTCTTCATTATACAAAAGTATGAAATTTAGCAATTAAAATTTATAAATCTTTTTTTTCTTATAATTTTTTTTCTTATTTATTAAAAAAAAAAAAACAAAAAACCTCACCCAATAATAAATATCGAATGATTATCCTAATCAAGTAAATTAAACTGATTAAAAAGTATACGTTAGATCTAATAAAAAAAATCTAAATAATATACTATGCTAAAAATATTTTTTTTATCTAATCTATATCAATTAATGATAAACATGCCTATGTACAGGGCTCATCCTGGGGGGAAATTTTAGGGAGAAGTGACTTCCCCGCGAAAATTAGGGAGAATGGAAACAACCCAATGTGTATGCATTAACATGCATGGCTATACATCCTTTAATTATAGTATAAACACAATTAACATCACATATAATATTTCTCAAGTTTATTGATTAAAAGTAGATTAATTAATAGTAGTATTAATTAATAGTAGATTAATTAATAGTAGATCTGGCAATGGCATCTAAATGTTTTTGAGCTGCAAATATGAATAAAAAAATTAATTTTGATATCTATTGATCAGCTATTTATAAGCTTTCTCTAAATATGTGTTTATATATTTTCATGTAGATTTGTTGATAATAATGTGTAAGAAAAAGATATGTTGATATAATCAATTTTATATTTTTTACTTTCCTCACTTTTAATAGAAGATGAGGTCACGTTGGATATTGATTAGTAATATCTGTTCTATTCTGTTCTGGTGACAGAAATTTCTTTCAAATTCCTAAATGTTGTAGTCAAATTTATATGCATATAATTATGCTTATAAAACAATTTTCAAACAGGAAATAATATGTAAAATATGTACTGCAAACATTTGTGCACATCATATTTGATCACTAAAATTACATACATTCATTTCTTATTGAAAAATTTGACTGAGAAATTGTAGAAAATTAATTTCTAATTACCTCCCTTTATTTTCATGAAATGTTAAATTCGGTAATATCTTTATAAATAATGCTTTTTAAAATTTACAATATTGATAAATCTTAATCTGAGCGTCATATTTACGACATTACAACAAATATATATATTGAAACAAAAAGAACACTTCTTTCCTGACAAATTTTGTTGTTATATACGTTACATGCATGATATACGACCGATATGTAGTTTAGCCAGGATGTCGATATGTAGTTTAGCCAGGATGTCGTGCCCACATGCGTAAACTGTGTCAAATTTGGCATTTCTACAGCCAAACACCCCCACTATCTAAAACATACCAATCGCAAGATTTTTGCGAATTGGCTTTCTTAATTTTTCGCGTAGGTGTAACTATCAGAATCAGTAACTTTCTTAAGTTGCTCGGTTTCGGCATTTCGCCTTGTAGCCATGACGTGAGCGACATAACAATTTTACAGTAAAAATTGATGTTAACAGACTGAAATCATTCAAAACTATGATGAAGTTTTTAATCCTGTCGCTGATCATTAATGAAATTGATTATTTTTAATTGACTAACAGTTTTGTGATAGCCGTGAAAAATCCATTGCACACCGCCCTTACTCGGGTTAAAAAACCCACCATCGAAGTGCTTCGTGTATATCAATTAGGGAAGATTGCACGTGTTTAGATAATCTATTATTATCGCCAAATCCCGTATTAAACTCGCAAAACTATCACACAATTATACCGTTTCGGGCCGATGCTCTCATTATTTACTGTTTAGAGTAGGCGTTCTATCGCTTTGCTTACAGGTAGAAGGGTAGTATAAAGCGACGCTTTGATTGGATAATGATAATTAGCGGTCGTCATATGGGCGGATACAATCTCTGCTCTTTACATCGCTAAGTAATTACTATTTGGGAATTAAGATTTTATCGGCGATGTTGACTTCTCTTTGATCAATCGGGAGAGCGAAATTGGAATATACACGGCGAAGTTATCGCCTGAATCGCCCTTCCGGATGAGCCCTGATGTATTAAACATCTAAATACTCCAATAAAATATTTTGTTCTCTAATTTATATCAATTAATATTATAATTTAATAATAAACTTATCCAAATTATTAAATATCTAAATACTTCAATATTAATGTATTAATGAAAATAAAGATGGGGAGGAACTGTCTGCTTAATATAGGAAGAGAACCATCAGGGAGGAAACGTCAGGGGAGGAACTGGTAAGGGAGAGAATAGTCTGACTACCAAATTCAAAGGGTACGGCTCAATGAATGTTCACAAAATATGTACTTGATGGTAGAAACATTTATCCTAAGTCAGAAATGAATTCTATGTATGTATGTAGTTAATGCTTAATGAGTTTCCATCCGCCCTTTAGGGCACAAAATGCAGCTTTCCCTGTCGAGAACGGACTCCGGACATGTCACCAGTCATGCCCTTAAAGAGTTAATTTTGAAGCACAAAGTGGTGATAGTTTACCTCCATGCAATTTCCATGGAGTATTAGCCAAAGATATGAATTTTGAGCCAAAAGTAGGTCACTGTACGGCGGTCAATAAGAACCTAAATGTACAGTTACCTGTGACAATATGAAAGGGTAGCCCTGAAAAGGGCTGTTGGTGCCAGCAAAAGACCTGCCTTACAAGCCGTCTATCTGTACTAGGGGCTCATGCACCCTAGCACACCATCCTCGTCGTCTCAGCCTTCTTTGTAGGGCCACTCCCCTCGGCATTAGTCAGGACACCTGCAGCTGGTCCGCAGTTGTTGACGAAGTAGTGATCTCATTGTTACAGCCTACAAGGGGCTTCTGTTTAGTTGAGTTGTGTTTGCTACCAGACAAGCTGTAAATCTGCCGATGCCCTGTGCCTTCTCAGCGATGTGCAAGCTCTGAGGGGAAGTGAGAAGTGACTTTTAGTCCATTCCCATTACACTATATACTAATATATAGACAAGGGTAACAACTCTTACTCCCATAAGAAGATGTCTATGCCCAATTGAAATTTCTATAAAAACACCGCCATCTTGACGAATATATACAACCGTCATCTGGTTGGTTTATTTCCCGAAAATTATTAAGAATCGGCACAAGTGATTTCAAACGGTCAATAAAATCAACACCGCAATTTTCACTGATTGTCTTTGCCGTGTTTGTCGCATGCCAAAACATCATAAACAACACGCGACCTCAGCTTCAATTAGATTATTGGAAAAACTTGCATCCTGATTGGCTGAGGACGCATTGTATTTGACAAGCGTAAAACCCGCCTTAAAACTTACACATTAGCTGCTGTATATTGCATATGAGAAGGACACAATGATACATGGATTTGGAATTTTATGCGTACAAGGGACTGCCGATTGGATATTTTAAGCGTCCTTTTGCAAAAAGTATGCATAAAATTGTGCTCAAATAAGCGTTCCTAGAGCCCTGAGTATAATTGTTTAAACTGTTGTACATGGAAAATTGTGTAGGTAATAGTTCAAGAACTGACAAAGGCAGATTTTAAATTGACCTAAATTGTGTTGGTGCGCCGTAAACTTTGCTCAGTTCACTGCAACAAGGCAACTTGAAGGACCCATGCCACCCTTGTGCCTGATCAAGGTCACACCTTTAAAGTTAAACATCAAACAATTTCAGGTCCACTCTATAACTCTTATTCCTCTTGCCCAAAAGACTTTCTTTAAATTTTTCTTTACTTTTCACCTTTGAAATTTAATGATAATTGGACTTGGATTACATCCTTTGTCAAAGAGATGGTGGGGGTATTTTATCACTCTTTTGACAGCTCAAATTTTTGTTAAATTTAGCAGAATTATAGACAAGGTAAATGATTAAATCAGTGCCCTAACATGAAATTAAAATAGCCCATTTGCATTCCCCTTATCTCTCTTCCAGGACAGATATAATCTAGAATAAGTTCATGATTATATTTGTCTAAAATGTGTAAAAAAGAATTGAAAACTCATTTACTTCAGCTGTTTTTTTTTGTATTTCATCAATGGCTTTTATATGTGTTTCTATTGTGTTCTTTTCTATCCCATAACAGGAACACATGACAAAGGTGTTGTAGAAGTAACTAATGCATTTGCTGTACCACATAATGAATCTGAGGATGAGGTAGGTTTATCACACAGTCTTAAATAAGCATTCTTTTACATTTTATGGAGAGAAATAAATATCGAAACTTGTATATTGTAAAAACCATTTTTCAAAAAAGGCTGTCTAAATTTCAAATTCAATCTCATTACATAGAGTGATAGTATAGGTGTAGGAAGTTGTCATATATATTGAAAATCAAATTATCCTTGTTTAAAAAAGCAATGATATGAAATAAGATGATATATATGATGCGAAAAACTCTTTGATTTAATAACAAGCATAAAAATTTCAGTTTGTAAACCAGATCTTTCCTTGACTACAATTGTAGATAATAAGTAAATGCAGGTATTTTGTACCAACTTATCATCTAAGTGTTCTGAGTGTTTCCAAATATCTTGTCGGCCAATTTTGTTTATAAGTAATCAGAGTTGTTGTTTTTAACAAAATGGATATTAAAAAAATAACTTAGGTTTATCATCTTTACTTTAGCTCTTATCAATGATGATAATATTTATTAACTGATTTTCTACATCATACTTCTACCAGAAGTGTTATTTTGGATAGAAGACTGTGGTGTCCTATTTTGGCTTGATTGCAAATTGTAAAGTTTATTTTGATTTAATGTAAGGGCTTTTTGGGGTGGGCTTTTCGTCCACTATGTCATTTTTCAATGGTAGGATCTTGTCTTGGGTGAAATTTTGTCCATTTCACAAATTGATTATTGATATGTATCTAAATTACAGGTTGCAGCAGATCTGGAGTATGCAAGAAATATGTTTGAACTTCATAAGAAAGTCAATCCATCTGAAGTTATTGTTGGATGGTAAGTATCTATTTGAAATTCATAGTTAATTAAGTACCAGAATAAGTTTTATCATTGGATAGAACTGTGTTACAGTGAATGATTTAGAGTTGGACTTTGCTTTGCCTGCTTGTCATTTAACTTACAACATTACACTTAAGAGTCAAAGATTTCAAGCTTTTAAAGCTTGTACATGTACTCTTTAGATATTTAGTTTACTGGTTATAATCCTTATTCAGGTAAAATATTTTTCAAACAGTTGTCATTTACCTTGATATAAATGAAAATTGTTAGTTCAAAACGACAGATTTTATGTTAATACCATGACTGTATATTGATTTTTACTAAAACTTAATAAACATTTTCATTTTCAAGTCTGGTTAAACTTAATTTCACTTTGGTTTTAACATATTTATTTAATCTCAATTGCGAAACAAGTTCTTGGAACTTATATTAATCACTTTTGAGACCGCTTCCTGGAACCAACCAGTACTGGTGTCATATGAAGAAACATGGTCGTGACCCCGATTAGGACTCCAACCCATGATCTTTGGGTTGAGAGGCAGACACTTTAACCACTAGGCCACCACTCCCCTTGGTAATTTTACTTTGAAAATTCAATCAAAACATCTTATAAATCATGTCATTGATGAAGGGCCACCTGAGGTCTTGATCCACCAGTTAAGCTGGAAAAAAATACATGTGCAAGGGGTTATCCAAAAATTCGTGGACTTTTTAAATATCTCTTGAACGTCAACGTGTATTGTAATGAAATTTCATCAGCATTCATTGTAGAATATTATCAACACATTTTGAAAGGAACAGTTAATTGTGTCAATAAATAATGATTTTATATTGCTTTTAAATAAGCACATACACGGCACCCGGTAGAAAAGCGCAATAAGTCATCGTATATTTCTTGCTAAAAAACTAAAAATTGAACGTAGAAAACCTGCTAAACATCGCATGTTTCTTCCATGATGTCATTTAAGTATTTCTTAAATAATGGACATCATTTCCATTTATTTTTGTTGATATCACTAGAAACGCCAGACGCCTTTATTGTTAACAACGGGAAAACGACAGACACGCGGTAATAAGAAAATGGCGCGATCATAAAACAATTATAAATTTTTGTTGTAATTTGGAAGTGACACCTACAAAAACATTTGATAACTAGAAATGTGTCCATAGGACACGGGTGCCCCCACCGCAACACTGTTCTGTCAATCTTTTTACTAAGTCAAGGGAAATAACTCTACAAATACTGGATAAATCCACAAGCCAAACCCCAGGTGCAAATCTAAAATATGCTGTGCAACCTGCCCATAAGGTTTATTGACTTAGTATGTCAAATCCTTTTTGAGAAACTTGCGACACAAGTTGAAAATTGCAAAAAATTTCTACGTGAAGGGCAATAACTCTAAAAATACTAAATAAATCCAGACGAAAATGCCTGGTGCACAACTGCACATGCTGATCAATATTCCTGTAAAGTTACATGAATCTAGGTCAAATACTTTTTGAGTTATGTGCGACACATGTTGAAAATTGCCAAATTTTACTAAGTCAAGGGCAATAACTCTGAAAATACTAAAAATATCCAGATGAAAATACCCAGGTGCACAACTACACATGCTGATCAACATTCCTGTAAAGTTTCATGACTCTAGGTCAAATACTGTTTGAGTTATGTGCGACACAAGTTAAAAATTGCCAAATTTTACTAAGTCAAGGGCAATAACTCTAAAAATACTAAAAATATGCACACGAAAATACCCAGGTGCACAACTACACATGCTGATCAACATTCCTGTAAAGTTTCATGACTCTAGGTCACATACTTTTTGAGTTACATGCGACACAAGTTGAAAATTGCAAAATTTTACTAAGTCAAGGGCATTAACTCTGAAAATACTAAAAATATCCAGACGAAAATACCCAGGTGCACAACTACACATGCTGATCAACATTCCTGTAAAGTTTCATGACTGTAGGTCAAATACTTTTGGAGTTACATGCGACACAAGTTGAAAATTGCAAAATTTTACTAAGTCAAGGGCAATAACTCTGAAAATACTATAAATATCCCGACCAAAATACCCAGGGGCACAATTACACATGCTGATCAACATTCCTGTAAAGTTTCATGACTCTATGTCAAATACTTTTTGAGTTACGTGCGACACAAAAGTGAACGGACGGACGGAAGGACGGACGGACAAGGGTAAATCTAAATGCCCGCCACTAACGTGGGGGCACAAAAATCAGCAGACGAACAGAGAAAAGAAATTTTAAACTATCATTAGTGTTAAAGTGGCATAAGAAATTTAGTGATGGACATTACTTTGAGAAGCAGTAACCGTCATTGACTGCGTAACGTTGAAGCACAAGTTGTACATTAATATTATGACGTTGACGTCAATAAATTTTTGGAGTGAGCCGCTGTCGCCGGCATGTGTTTATGTAAAATTAAATATTGTTGTAATGTAAGAAGCTACTCACATGATTTTTTTCTGTGTTTATTTGTTATTAATTCTTCTAAGCAGTGTAAGAATTTCAAATTAATATCTAAAATATATTTTACGCAACAAAGAAAGTCCACGAATTTTTGGATAACCCCTCGTATATACATAATTGTTATAGACAGGAGAAATCTATATTTGTTTAAATATTTTAAAAATGATAATTTTTTATCTTCCTCTATCTCCTTCAGTGTGTAGTTATTCTATCATACATTGATAACTGAGACATGATTTACAACATTATTTACAGGTATTCTACAGGTGCTGATGTATCAGAACATTCCCTGTTAATCCATGAATATTACTCTAGGGAAGCTAAAAACCCTGTCCATCTGACTGTAGATACTACTCTTAGAGGAAATAAAATGGGCATTAAGGCTTTTGTTAGGTAGGTGTCATATTAATATATACTTTCGACTTGATATTATATCTACACAGGGTTTTACATTTTCCTTAAAATTGCCATAGTTCTGAAATTATAAAGAAATGAAAATATATTAATTTAGAATTATATACATGTCATTATGAAGAAATGAAAACAGTTGAAATTTAGCATTATAAAAAGTTGTTTGCTTTTTACAAACTTTGACACATTTCCAGAAAGTTAAGAAATTCTTTACATCCTACAAAAAATAATGATTGGGTAAGACGTAAGAGTAGGGAACAGTTGCTTAGAATGAACTTTATTTGGTTAGAATTGAAGAAATGAAATATTTGAAGCAATTTTTTTTCTCTGAATTGAGGCCATAATGCTGTATGTGATAATTTATAATAATGATATACACTATGTGGTATGACCACTGAGCACTGTTGATGTCTGAAAGTCTTAAAACAAAATATGAAATTCTTACATTGAATAAGTTTAACGCTTGTAAAATGGAAAAATCGGATGACCACTGAGCACTGTTGATGTCTGAAAGTCTTAAAACAAAATATGAAATTCTTACATTGAATAAGTTTAACGCTTGTAAAATGGAAAAATCGGATGACCACTGAGCACTGTTGATGTCTGAAAGTCTTAAAACAAAATATGAAATTCTTACATTGAATAAGTTTAACGCTTGTAAAATGGAAAAATCGGAAAAAGATGAAAAATATACTCGGAATTAAATTAATATCAATTTTTTGTGTGATTCTTACCAAATTCATTTTTTGGGTCATTATTCACGATAAAACTGAACATTTTGGAAAAATAGGGTGAAGGAATTAGCTATAAAATTAAACTCGAGCTATTGGCCCAGTCCTACATCTAATGGTATAAATATCTGAACAATTCAATATTTCCAGTCATGTCATGGCAAAAAAATCTCAGTGGTATGGTTGTATATTTCAGTACTCAGATTGGCACTCCAGGGAAGACTGTAGGTACAATGTTTGCCCCAGTTCAAGTAGAAATAACCAGCTATGAACCAGAGAAAGTTGGAGGTAATATATTTTCCCTTTTGAAAGGTCCAAATGTAATGCAAATTAATTTTAATTAAATCATAACATGCCTGCACCTATTTAGTTTTATTTTAGTTTCTATGTAATGTTTCTATCTTCTTTATTGAGGTTTTTGCAATGCTTCAGTAGTTGTAAATGTATGTTGAGTGGTTCCTAACAAGTTGATTTGTGAATTGTCATATTTCACAAATTATCACAATTTCTAAAATGTTTCATTTTATTCCTCAATTGAACAAACAGGACAGGTAAGTGCATTATCACAAAATATATGCAAAACATGAAAAGGGAATATTTACATGTCTAGTTACATGGCGTCAATAAACCAAATTATGACATGGGGAAAATTACTTTGCTGCTCAATGCATTTCTCTTCAACATTCCTTGGAAATCTTTTTCCTTATAGGCACATTTTGTCTCAGAAACAAATGAAATTTTCCTTTTATAGAAAGGCTATTAAAATAGCAATATATAAACAAATAGTATTGACTTCGATATAAAATACTAAATTTTTGATAACTTTAATAATTGTCAAAAGGTGACAGAAGCAAAACATGGTTTGGGTAATTTGCCAAATGATGAACCTGTTATGTGTACTACATGAAAGTATTTTGTTTGTTATTTATAAATAGTTTTTACAAAGATTTGTTAACTGTTTGGTACTTTACAATACTTATTAAATCTGATAAAGTGTAACTAAGTTAGAAAGTGATAATCAATTTTTTTTGGAATATCAATTTCAGAAACAAAAAATGATGAAGGTTGAAAAACATTTCATGAAATTTTGAATTCCAGATGATGACCACTATAGTTTGTTTCACATACAATGTATATGAAAATTGCTGCTTTTATTGGTTTGGTCAATTATCAATAAGGATATTACCAATGAACAAGTGTTTACTTTTACAGTTGATGTCATACAGGGTGGTAAATTTAATCCTAAACGAAGTGCCAACCTAGTTAAAGATCTGACACATGTAGAAAGAGCCACAGGAATGTTACAACAAAAACTCGCCATGGTTCTGGAATATGTTGAAGATGTTCTGGTAAGACATATTTGCTTAAATTCTACACTTTGGGCATCTTTAGCCAAGTGGTGAAGGTTGTTGACTTCAAACCACTTGCCCCTCACCACGGTGGGCTCGAATCCCAACAGGGACTTTGGATTCTTCTTTCCTGTGTGAAACCTATCCAGCTAGCTTACAGAACCTTGGTGGTTCTACTCAGGTGCCCGTTTGTGCCTGAAATAATACACCCAAGGTCTTCCTCCACCAGTAAAGCTGGAACATAGCCATATGACCTGTGTTGGTGTGACATAAATCCCAATCAAACAAATCAACATTCTGCACTTTATTAGGACACAATTTCTTTTAAAAAGTGTGTTGTTTGGTTAGAATCTTTCAAGGACATACTCTGATATCATTATACTAGTAAGATGCATGTTTCATTTATGTCTTCTATTATATATTTCTTCCTTGCTTTGAAATACATGTACTGTTATCAAACAGCATTGAAAGAAACATTTTGTTTTTTTATTTAACAAAGATAACATTATACCAGTAACATGTAATTTGCACTTAGCATGCACTTCCCTGTTGAGAAAAGCCCTTTGTGGATTTTACTGTTTAATCAAGAAATCGAAAAATCTAGGCTGTGATAGCAGAGTGAATGACTTGCTATCGAGCTTGATGGTTAAACTAACTAGTCTAATGATACAAGGTAAAACTGTAAAAGATTGTAACAAGAACTTGCATGATAAAATGTCTTTGCTTACTTTTACTATTTGAGTATTAACTATAAGAATTTCTAAAGTACTTCTAGGTACATTGATAGATAAGCATTTTTTTCTGACATTTCAGGCCAATAGAATACCAGCTGATAATGTTATTGGTAGATTTTTAATGGATCTAGTGATGAAGGTCCCTCAGATTGAGCCAGAAGACTTTGAAGAAATGCTTAACTCTAATATGAAGGTAAATGTTTCTTGTTCCAGTACCTGTATTTTTTAGCTCACCTGAGCATGCTCAGGGTGAGCTTTTAGGATCGATGATTGTCCGTCGTCCGTTCACATTTGGTTGTTAACACTCTAGCAGTCACATTTTTGCCTCAATCATCATCAAACTTGGTCAGGATGCTTATCTAGTTGATAGCTTGGATGAGTTATAACATTGGTCATCTCGGATGAGAAACTAGGTCACAAGAGCTAAAAATAGAAAAACCTTGTTAACACTCTAGAGGTCACATTTTTGCCTCAATCATCATCAAACTTGGTCAGGATGTTTGTCTAGGTGATAGCTCGGATGAGTTCGAACATGGGTCATCTCGGATGAAAAAGTAGGTCACCGGAGCTAAAAATAGAAAAACCTTGTTAACACGCTAGCGGTCACATTTTTGCATCAATCATCATCAAACTTGGTCATGATGCTTGTCTAGGTGATAGCTCAGATGAGTTCGAACATGGGTCATCTCGGATGAAAAAGTAGGTCACCGGAGCTAAAAATAGAAAAACCTTGTTAACACTCTAGCGGTCACATTTTTGCATCAATCATCATCAAACTTGGTCAGGATGCTTATCTAGTTAATAGCTCGGATGAGTTTGAACATGGGTCATCTTGGATTAAAAAGTAGGTCACCGGAGCTAAAAATAGAAAAACCTTGTTAACACTCTAGCGGTCACATTTTTGCATCAATCATCATCAAACTTGGTCAAGATGCTTGTCTAGGTGATAGCTCGGATGAGTTCGAACATGGGTCATCTCGGATGAAAAAGTAGGTCACCGGAGCTAAAAATAGAAAAACCTTGTTAACACTCTAGCAGTCACATTTTTGCATCAGTCACCATCAAACTTGGTCAAGATGCTTGTCTAGGTGAAAGCTGAGATGAGTTCAAACATGGGTCATCTCGGATGAAAAAGTAGGTCACCGGAGCTAAAAATAGAAAAACCTTGTTAACACTCTAGCGGTCACATTTTTGCATCAATCATCAAACTTGATCAAGATGCTTGTTTTGGTGATAGCTAGGATGAGTTCGAACATGGGTCATCTCGGATGAAAAACTAGATCACAGGAGCTAAAAATAGAAAAACCTTGTTAACACTCTAGTGGTCACAATTTTGACTCAATTGTCACCAAACTTGGTCAGGAAACTTGTCTAGGTCATTGCTGGGAATAAATTGAACATGGGTCATCTCGGATGAAAAAGTAGGTCACAGGAGCTTAAAATAGAAAAATCTTGTTAACACTCTAGTGGCTACTGTTGTGATCCAAATATTCTGTTAATTGGTCTGAAAATTTGTTTTGATGATTTCTAAGTCAAGTTCGAACATGGGCAGGGCCTTTTTACCTTCTATAACAGGGGCCGGTATAGGGCTGCTTCCCCAAAGAAAATTTCTTTAAAATCATGCAGTTTTCCCCAAAAATTGAATTTACATCAAGTTTTTTCTTCCCCTTTTGCAAATATACCTTGTATTTTTTCCCCAAAATTAAGGGCTGGGCTGCTTCCCCAAACTGTGAAAAAAAGCCCTGATGGGTCATCTTGGATGAAAAACTAGGTCACACCGCCCAAATATGGAAAAACCTTGTTAACATTCTAGTGGTCACATTTTCGACTCAATTATCATCAAACTTGGTCAGGATGCTTGTCTAGGTAATTGCTTGGATGAGTTCGAAATCGCATGTGGAACTAGGTCACCGGAGCTAAAAATAGAAAAATCTTGTTAACACTCTAGTTGCTACTGTTTTGATCCAAGTATCCTGGAAATTGGTCTAAAAGTTTGTTTTGATGATTTCTAGGTCAACTTTGAATATGTGTCACCTGGGTAAAAAAACTAGGTCGCACTGCTCAAATATGGATAATCCTTGTTAACACTGTAGTGGTCACATTTTTTGACTCACCTGTCATGAGACTTGGTCAGAATGCTTGTCTAGGTAATTGTTTGGATGAGTTTGATAAGTCAGGTGAGCGATCTAGGGCCATCATGGCCCTCTTGTTTACATCATTTAAACTGGGCAGATTTGAGACAAGAGAAAAATTGAATGAACAAGTGCTTTTCCTTTAAATGTCTGGTTCATATTGATCACTGAGAAAAAATATTTTATATTTTGTTAATATTAGTTCTATTATTATAGATATTTAAGAGTAAGTAAAAGGTTCAGGGATGTAACCTCATAACATTTCTTCAATAAAATGTAAATTATTATTCTATAAATGTTCTTGATATTAAACTATTGAGGCTTTGTTTCATCAGATATAACCACAGCGTAAGTAGATTTGTTTACTAATTATTTATAATTGGGAGAAATGTTACAGAATCATTATTAATGTATGAAAAGGTTATTGTAGATATATGGTATCACTGATTCTGATTTTTAGTTATAGGTAAATGCAAAGACATTATTTATAATGGGATCTTGTTTAAGATTTGTCTTAAATTTGCAACTGATTTTATTTTCCAGGATTTGTTGATGGTAACATATCTAGCCAATCTCACACGTACCCAGCTTGCACTCAACGAGAAACTAAGCATCACTTTGTAATTTCTGTAACGTATTTAGTGTTGAAAACGAATACCATTTTGGAAGCGAAATATAGAGCTATTGCCTTTCTGTTGGGATAGTTCAATACTTTGTTTATTTATTGACTTTTAATTAAGTGCTAAAATGGAAAAAGATATATGGAGAACTCTGACACACAGATTCATTATAGACTATTTAAATTCAAATGCAGGCTCATGGAATCATAGATTGAAATTAAAAAATTCAAAATATATGATTTGTTTGTGCTTTTATAATTGGCTTCGATTACTCGTATAATTGCTCTGTAGTTATGATGACTTAACCAGTGTTGTCAAGTCAGTAGCACACATCCTGTATTGACATAAGGTGAATGTGTCTAAAATATTTGGGACAAAATACAATTGGCTGCATAGCATAAGTAGATTCTCTGCGTGTGTGGACATCCAGTGATTTTCCTGCTTAAAATAATAACAGACTCCGAAAAAGGGCCTCTTTCCAATTGAAATTTTCTTTAAAATCATGCAGTTTTCCAAAAAAAAAATGAACTTAAACCTGCTTTTTTCTTCCCAAATAAGCAATTTTAGCGATTATTTTACCCAAAATCAAGAGGCTAAGGCCCCTTCCCAATTAAGTGAGAAAAATCACTGGCATAATGGGGTTTTTTTTGCATAATATTTATTCAAAAATACTTTAAATAAAGGATTTCATTGCAATAAACATTTTCTTAGGCAAATAAAATAAAACCAGTTTCGTAAACATTCATGAATGGTAGACGTCTCTTTTGTCTTTGATGGAATTAATTTGTACCCTGGTGTGTATTGCCCACCCCCACCTTTTGCGTTGTCAAAAATATACAGGCATCTTACTTTGGTATATTTACAAAGGACCAAGGTGTAAAAAAATATGTCTTTATACTGTACCCTTTAACGCGAGTACATTTTACTAACTTAGAAGAAATGTAAAACCAGGTAGTTGCAACATCTTGTAAGGATCATCTACAGAAATACGGGTATAAAGACATGCAAAGGAGTTCTTATTAGCAAAAATATATGACATGTTAATATTAAATCTATGTATAGATCAAATATTATGTGAAATATACAAATTTGAGATGACTGGAACAAAAACCACCTCTACTTAAAAAAAACAGCAAGAAGAGAATAGATGCTTTAAAAATACAAATGTATAGCACAGCCAAGCTTTTCAAGTTTTCCCTTATATGTAAACCATTTAAAATATGATTTTGCTAAATTTCAACAAGAACTACTTGTTTTAATAATTTCAATATCCAGGTTTTAACTAGATTTCATCGTGGTCATTGTTTAACAAGTTTCATAATACATGTAATAGACAGAACATAAATAAAGTAACATTGCATACTAATTGTTAATTATCATAGTACGATTGTTGTAATGAAACAAATTTTTTTTCATATACAAGATTTTAAATAACTTCAAATGGTAAAGGCACCGTCTGGTTAGCAAAACTGGTAGGGTGTTAAACTGTGAATCAAGCAACCTGTGCTTGATTCCTAGACAGTGAGGTTTAGTTTTGTTTTGATTGATAATGAAATCTTTTCAACTGTCATTCAAACTGATATTTGCTCTGGCATATACAGAAGTAATAACAGTTCTTGCAAAAGTGAAGGCAAATAGTACTGGTAAACTGCTTGACAGCCTGCCTAGGAATGAACCTTTCCAGTGTTTACAGTTTTATGTAAATTGGCTAATTTGTTATCCAATTGCTACATTGAGATAATACATAGTCACTGGTTGACCTGGTTTGCACAAAAGAACACATGGTTGTTTGTGATACTGTTTGTGAGCAGTTGACCTCGCAATGAATGGAAAAGGTGTGGCTAAATGTTCCGCTACCAAAAACCGGAAAGGTCCATGATGTGGCTGTTGAACAGTGCTCTGGTAAATTCATAGTGACTTGCTGTTGTTATCCGCAGAATAAAGTACAAAAACCACCACCATTATGAGGTCATCAATTGTACACTGAAAGACCTCTTTAATGCCATTCTTTACAACATCATTTTCATAAACATAGCTATCATTTTGGAATTCCATCAAACTGAATTTGGCTACTGTCTGTGCATAATGACAGATTATCAGTTCTACATAACATGCAGTATGTTTGAATTCAACTTTCTGCTAAAGAGATGTGATTCAAAATCGAATGCATCAATTTGCTAAAGATTATGAAATACTAGCTAGATATTAATCTTTTGATTTATTGTTTATAAATGTCAGATTTTCATTGAAAAATATTTAAAACGAAAAACTAGCTTTCATGTTAAATAACATACCGGATGAGTGGAATAGGTGCATGCCCAAGAAAGCAATGCCGAAGCAGAAGCTACCTAACAAGGCCCTGATTCATAAAGATTTTTTACTGTATATATAAATAACATGAGTAAGTAAGTCAATTTTATTAGAGCAACACTGTGTTATAAATACAAATAACATCACAGTAGTCATGTTGGGCCTATAAGCCAATTCAAACTATACACATATTCTATAACTTTATTCACACATACACACGCCCATACACATTTGTAAAAATAAAAACTTACTGGCAGCTAATGGCAAGGTAAACTTGCAACACTTGCCCAGCTGTTTCAAGATGAACAGCTAACTCTAAGTTTTCTGGCCCAGGTTGGGGGAGGGGATGCAAACCCCTTTTCTTCTGCCCTTTCATTGTATGTATAAGGTTTCTTTAAAACTTCCAACACAAACTTTAATTCATCAAACTTATTCTGCTCTGTTTTCTCTATGGCAGTTTGAGCTATCCAATTCCTGAGAATATACCTAGGATTCACTTTGAGCATTATATTTTGCCTTGCAGATTCACTGATATTCTCTTCTTTGAGTTTATTAATATAGATTTTTAACCACTTACTAAACCAGTCATGATTACTTAGAACATTCAATGCCCACCATTTTTCTGGAATGTTATCTTGTTTTATAAGGTCTGAGAGAGTTTCAAGTGAAATTTCAGAGAGCTCTCTGAATGTCATAGTAAAGTCAGCTTTTGTGTCTTCCATTATTTTAAGAAGTATTGCAATAAATTGCTCATCATCTTCATTAAAACTTGTAATACTTTTAAAGCCTAATTTAGAATAGAATAGTTTCATAAAATTGAATTTATATACGTCTGCATAACCATTTAGAATCATAACTGCTTCTTTTGCCTGTTTTTTATTCAACAGAGGTAATAAAGCAAGCCGTAATTTATTAAGATTAAATTTTCCGACATCTGGTTGTTTTTCATAACTATACCGACCATCGTCATCTGACGTGTTAGGAACAAACTTTGGGTCATACCCTTCTACAAACCCAAAAGGGCCATAATCTATTGTAATAGATAGTATACTAAAATTATCTGTGTTGCAAACCCCATGTGTAAACCCCACACTTTGCCATAATGCTATCATAAATGCTGTTTGCTCAACAACTTCTTGAAAAAATGCCAAATATTTTCCTGTATCATTTAAATCAATATTAGGAAAATAATTTTTGATAATGAAATCAACTAAAGATCGTAATAAACTGATTTCATTGCTGATGGTGAGAATTTCTAAAGATCCGATCCTGAACCAAGATTTGGCAAGTCTCAGTACCACAGCAGCACGCTCTGTCTTAAAATTTCCATTGTAAAACTGATCACGAGTCACTGGGTCATCACTAACAACAATGCTGGCCGCACGACTTGTAGGAATACCTAAAATATAATACATGTGACGTCCTCGTAATATTTCAATTATTTAGATGAGAAGGAGTACACCATGATTCTTTTACAAATGAATATTTTATATTACAGGGCAATGTAAGCTTGCCAGATTGAGTTAATGAGCAAATACAATAATTCAAAAAGCATTGTACAGACCTATATTATAGAGAGGGACTTGGAAAATTTAAAATAACAGTTACACATTTATAAATGAAGCCTATATTACAAAATGCCATGTCAGAGTACAGATCTGATCTATAAAACAAATTATTTATATCTCATTGTATTTAACCTTAAACATGGAATCATGATCTAAATGATCTTGATTATATTAATTTACTTTTATTCTCTCGGAGATTTTGCAATCATAGTTTAATAAACACCTCTGTAAAATGAAACAATGACTTACATGTATGTGTTATTTTTTTTTAATAATATACATTCTTAATATTTTTTTAATAAATTAAAAGTGTACCCCACCTAGGGCATACATTGCTTCACTGCACAGGAATTCCCTCACTGATGACCGAATCACTGCTTTTCCATCTCCTCTTCTTGAATATGGTGTTAGCCCTGAACCTTTTAACTGAAGCTCCCATCTCTCACCATTGTGATTAACAAACTCGCCCAACATCACTGCACGACCATCTCCTAACTGTTCAGCCCAATAACCAAACTGGTGACCCCCATATCTACGGTATATACAAGTACATGTATAAGTTTATTTTTCAGACTTAAGTTATATAGTAAATAGCATAGATGTCTACATTTATGTTTTTTTAAGAAAAGTAAACAATATCTTTCTATTTCCAAATAATAATAATGTGCAGAAGCCACTGTGAATAAAGAATGTAAGCATTATAATAGTTATTATAATACTTATCTAGTAAATTACTCAGTGATACTATCTTAAAGTGACTTACTTAATTGATGTCATAATTGAACATTAAAAACTGATAAAAACTCTGGTTAATTATGACTTCTAGTCAAAATATTGTGGTTAGTATGCCCTGAATTGTGTCAATAGATTATTTACAAACAATCTAATACAACTGGTAGCTTTATACTGGTATGATTGAATTACAGAGCTCAAGCTGACAAAGTCTGTTGGTTTTTTGGGGTTTAAAAGCTGAATTAACACAAAGCTGTTATAATTCAATAGCTCAAAGTAATCTGTCAATTTTACACTTAAACCATTATAGCTTTGGCTTCCATACCACATAGGTATATCAAATTAAAAGCTGATACAATTAGGCTCATATCTGTATTTGAGTTTATATATACTCTAAACTGTTTGTCCATAGGGGCGAGTGCGCCAGAAGTGTTCGTCATTTTAGATTTTTGGAAGATAGTGCAAGATACAGAAAGATGCCTGGATTTCTTCTTTAAAAATTAGCCTGCAAAGACTGTTTAAACAATTATACACTGCGTCTGTACTCTTAGTGCCTGAAAGGGTGGATGGACCCTCATTAAGCCTATAATACATGTTATTATGCACTCATACATGGGTCTTGATTTAAGGTCTTAATTCCAAAAATTGTCCAAGTATAATTTCTGTCAGCCCTGGACGAACCCACAATGTCGAGATTACTAGCCTTACAAATTTAGCTGTGCGGCCTGTATAATGATAGTTAGGTTATGTATCATATACCTATGTGCTAGAGGTTTGCTGCCTGGCAGTACATTGTTTCCACTCACAAACTGCAGAAATGCTTTACTATCTTTTACAGCAGGATCTACATTCAGAATAGTTGTTAAAACATCATCATTTACAGCAGCAAGTCTTGGATTCTTTAGTGGGGTTGGATAAACTACTGAAAATACTGCATTTTCAACTTCACGCACATAATTCCTCTTTTCTTTATCAATAGGAAATGTGGAAATTAACATCTGTTGACATGCAAAACTCCATTCATTGAAATTTTGAAATAAATACCAATGTCCATCTGAATAACATTTATCAGTGTTAGGAAATCTTAAAATATTCCTTTGATAGATATATTTCATAGATGTAGCATTAACCAGTCCAGTCATGGCAGGCTTCACATGATACAATAGAATAAATATAAATGGTACAAGTGCCATGTTTACAACAGGAAATCCATTAGAGTTACTTCCCTTACTTGAGTTACTTCCCTTACTTGTGAATCTTCAACCTTCAAATTTGTAAACAAACATGTACAATCTATTTATAGATCATGATAACATTCTATTTTACTTTTCTGTTCAATAGTTTGTTATATTTCACATTCCTTTGTTGAATAAAAACTGAAACTTGAAAATGCATTAAAATTTAATTCTGCTGTAACTACATGTAATAATATTATTAATGAATCACAAATGTTATATTGAGACTAATGTAACATCCTTATCACAGCACTGCAGTTGACAACATGAAATATGTCATTAATTAAGTTTTCAACACAAACTTGCCTGCTTTGAATTCAGAACTGTTTAGTTTTAATAAACATTTACTGGTATATCAAATGAAAAGAAAATAGCAGTATGAAGCTATATACATGTAGAGCCAGGTCAAACAGTGTCAACTAGTTTTGCTGGGCTGCATTTGTTCACACTTGTTAGTTGCTTTAACATTGCTTTGTTAATATTGGGTAGGAGTGTCATGGGGTTGGGTTTATTGTTGCACCAACACAGTAGAGATCATACAGCAACTTTCCAGCTTTACTGGTGGAGGAAGACCTCAGTTGCCCATCCACGCATTATTTCAGGTACAAACAGGCACTTGAGTTGAACCACTGATATTAGCTACATGGACAGGATTCGAACCCACAGCAGTAAGAGGCAAGTGGTTTTAAGTCAACAACCTTAACCACTCTGACACAGACAGCCCTAGTTTATTCATAATTAGCCAATGTGTATAATTATAGGTAATGAATTTCATTTTTATGGCTTTTTTTGTTTTAGAAAAATACAGTAGGGATTCTACAAATATATTGTGAATATATCACCTGCCATTGGGAAGTAGTAAAATAATGTGGTATATAAAAAACTGCCCTGATTTCATTTATGTATAGACTATTAAGTACATTATACGGTACTTGACTGTACTCTTTACATTGTTTATTATTATCATATTTCAAATCATTTTTTCAACAAACTAATTAAAATCAAATTTCTTAAGTTATTACAAAAATATCGTATGATAAAATGATGTAGTGAATGGTAAGTGGGTTTATAGAAACATAAACACTGTTGTCAAATATGCATCTGCTGTGCATTATTTTTTTGCATGGGCAGGTGGAGGGGAAATGACTTTTAAGTCTGCAATCTCGGCATAAATGTTTCATGAAAATATTTTTGGAAAGTACACAAAACATATCATTTTAAGACAAACAAATGGTGGCTTTAACATTTTATTGCTTTGTGTTATGTACAATATATACACATGATTTGATTTACACATGAACAATAATTTAGCAGATCTTAAGGTATGTATTCTACAGAGCATATCAAATAAAAATATTAATACATGTATTCATTACATATTTCAATCCAAAACAAATATTAAAATTTTGAGTAAATTCTCTTTCCTTTTTTTGTTTTTGTGTGTATTAATTGAAGTCACACTGGCAAACTTGAAATCAAATGCAGAGTTTTAAATACTTACTGGTTGAGGAAGTGCCCAACTTCCTCTCCATTTACTAAGTAACACTCAAGCAGGCACCTGGGTAGAACCACTTACCTACTGGAAAGGAGCATAATGGCTTCCTCATAGAAAATAATTCAGTATCCCTTTAGGGATTTGAACCTACTACAGACAGTTGCATAGTCCATAGCCTGTATACCATTTAATTCTAGGTCTTAAAGCAGCTTACCTCCACATTCATGTTTATTTTCATAAAAACATTTGAAAATGTTATTAAAAGTAAAATATTGTGTAGTGAATAAAAAAAGTATTTTTGTGTACCAATTAGCACTTACAATCCTAGTAAAAAGAGGTCAGGGTATGCAAAAATAGCCCTTACATTAGTCACACAGTATACTGGTGTGATAAATACTGCAAAATCGATTGTTAATCGCACATAACATGTAAATCATTTCTTGAATCTTTTTAATTTTCTTAAAATCTTAAATCTTCTTAAGTTTGATATTTGTGAGATATTTTGAAATTCTAACTGTGGCACTTAAAACTGAAAAATATGAAAAGATAATAAAAACACTTGGGATTAAATTGGAATTTCGAAATCAGTATTAGGTGCAATTTTTAGCCTTATTTGAGTAAAAAGTAAACATTTTTCATTTAAATAGGTCATTTTGTACAATAAAAGTGAATATTTTGGGAAATGGGAAAGATACAAAATTTTGCACACAAGTTATTGGTAAAGACCTACATCAAATGGTAAGATCGTATAAAAATCTCGAAAAAAAAATATATCCAGTGCTGCCATGTTGAAAAGAAAACACAGTGGAGACCCTTATATTGAATTTATTACAAATATTTTTAGATAGATAAAAATGTATAAATGAAAGTCTAAAACAATAATCACACAAAGAATAAACTGACTTGCAGTTAATTCTAAAACACATTCATGCATCAACCTTAAATGTAAAGCAAATGCACATTGATAATCATCCCATTTTTACTACAAATTTTTTTTCTGTGTAATGTATTTTTAAAGACCTTAAAGGTCTATTACTACAATTATTATTGACCTCTTTCATGTGCAGCTATACACATCTGTGGTCACAAATATGAAACAGTCAAAGATTGTAAAGACTAAATCCTTGGAACTGGAATAACATGTTGTTTGATTACCTTACCTTAACTACATATTACATATACAAATATGTTCTACACATGGATAAACTACACATTTTCTTATGTATCCATTTTACAATTTTATCTTTTAAAACTTTAACAATTTGTGTTTGTGTCTAGAGTTCCCTAAAATCTTATTTGAATTAACAAAACTTCAAAGATATGCCATAATGGTAACTTGATGTTCTAAAAACAAAACTTCAGGACCCAAGCCTCTATTCTCCAACCATTATCAAAAAACTCTTGAATGTTATTATAATTTCTTAAATTCACATAAGTTTCTTTTAATATTAATTATTATAACAATTAATATCCTATTGGTGTATTTTGAAAAATCATAAATATTTCATAATAAAACTTTTACAGTTTTTTACCTCCATACTAATGAAATTAATTTCCATATTAAAGTTTTCATATTTTAAACATACAACACAATATAAAGACCTTAATATAATATCTAATCCTTATTCTAATAATAGCTGTTTATGAATATTCAACTAAATTATTCTTTTCTTAACATTCATACCACTCATTATTATACCTAGGTACATGTTTGCATGAAACACAGTAAATGTATTTAGCAGAAAATATGGCATTATTCATTACAGAACAGCACCAAGTCGCTAGAAAACTATCATGACAGGTCTTTTTGTGTCACTTATTGTGTATCAAATTCTGATCTATGATCAAGTTATAATTGATGTGAATGACTATCTTCATTTTCTCTTGTTTCTTTTACATTATTATATACTAATATCATAGTAACTTTATTTTTCCTGCTGGCATCCAGGTACAATAGCATTTCATTTTCTTCATTAACTTCCATGTCTTAAAAGTATATGACCTGTCTATGTAACAATGCACTTTCTATGAATCATTATCATTATTATTGAAAAATTGTAACAATGCAATCCAACACATCAGTTGTCTCTTCCACTTGTTTCTTAAAGTCCATGTATACTTTTGTCATAGTTTTCCATTTTAATCCTAGTATAAAAGTTTGATTCACTATGTTGGGTTTTCAGTTTGATACATCCATGTTATGTTTTTGATCAAATCTGCTTTTAAAGTTTTTAGCCATATAAATGAAATAGGTTAACGCCTCCTTTTCAACAACTGGGATGGATTTAAAATGTCTGGCAACTGTCTGAAAAACAGATAAATAAAATTTCATATTAATTGAAACAAACTTCAACAGAACGGGTCAGTCTTAATAAACGACGATCTCTGTAACCAAGACTCAGACTTTCTTGCTTTATAGTCATACAGATTGAAAGGCAGAATAATAATATCTGTCATATATCAATATGTGCGTTTCAGATCAGAATGTCCGTTCCGAGGGGGCGGGTCCCAAGGGACTGATATTCAGATCCGAACCACAAACATATGTAAGATATTTTTTCTTGCATATTCTACCATATACCATCAAATTTTTAATTCTTTACCTTAATAGGGAAAATTTTCATGAAATTGATGTCATTACACCCGGAGCTATTTTTTTACAAGAGCACATGGAATTACAGTGTCATTCAGAATGGCGAAATTACATCATCCTATGCATGCTGTTGTATAGCACGCAACTAATCTGGCATCCCCATGCCAGATTAAATTTCCGGCATGGGTAAAACTAACAGAAACACCAGTCTGATATATACAACAATATTAAATTTTAGTGTCAGTATGACATTGCAACCACTTGGCCATTGTTCCTAAATTTTTGTTATATGATATCAGTATAGGTAAATGAGCCGCATCACGACAAAACCAACATAGTGCGTTTGCGACCAGCATGGATCCAGACCAGCCTGCGCATCTGCGCAGTCTGATCAGGATCCATGCTGTTCGCTATCAGTTTCTCTACTTGCTATAGGGTTTGAAAGCGAACAGCATGGATCCTGATCAGACTGCGCGGATGCGCAGGCTGGTCTGGATCCATGCTGTCGCAAAAGCATTATGTTGGTTTTGTCATGACGCGGCTCAAATCATTTAGACAGTTATCATAAATAATACCTACATCTGAGAGTTGTGCTTTATTCATGCCTGGTCTAGCAGGCAATTTATAGTGTCTCTTATAACGTCGTAATGTGTTCACAGGCATTTGGAAAAAGTCAATCTGAAACAAGAAATAGAAGATAAATATTAGATTTACATGGTACTGTATGTTTTGTCGAACCAAATATTTTATATAAATTCACTTTGCATAATTTATTACAAATCCTTACAGCTGATTACTACTTTAAAATTTCTACAAGGTGAAGAAAGCTCCTTGTGGATTTGCTCAGAAATTTAGACATTTTGTAAGTCAAAGCTAAAAAAGATGCCTAAAGTATAGCTACCATAATAGTAGTCTTGCCCGTTCATTAAGATTTACATTACCCATGATTGAACCATAACAGTACACTCTTGTGAAGAATATGTGTTGTATAACTCTGAGCCTCCAATAATGTTTTTTTTTATATTTTGTACACTCTTAACTCTGTATAAACGATGCAACATTATTACCGACATACTCTTAGTAATTTGTCATGTGCGGTCATGCAAATGTTGAAGTTAAAAATCTTTGACCTCATTTAATTAAAAAAATCCATGATTAGTCCAGATTGGTTTGCTTTGCACAAAATATTAAATTAATTAATTCATAAATGAAATTGAATGCAGACATACAGGAAATTTTAAGTACGTCAATAATACAGAGTTCCGTGCTACTTACTTCAGGAATGTCTTCATCAGCATCGAGTGATCCATCGCCATCGTCACTGTCACGTCTCTTCCGCTTCATTCTCGCATTTTGTATCATGTTTTTATGAAAATCACAAATATAAATGTGATTTACCTGAAATAGGAAAACTGAGTATTAAATAGAGGTTAGGCGAGTCACAGTGTAAACTAGACATGTTTCCAAACATTGTGCTGAGGACACATTTTTATAAATCTAAAATTATATTAAATTCTTTTGCCTGTTACATTAATTTGGTATACAATGTTCATGTATATCAATATTATGGAAAATTAACAATTTAAAATGCAAGCATCTCTAGTAAAGTATAAACTTCAAACTTTATAAATATGATGACAGCCTGGCTGATGAAGGGCTCTACACAAAAACAAATGTCAACACAGTGACCTCTTTAAAAATCTTTCAAGATGGAACCTTTTTATAATTACAGCCAGTATGGAATAAAAGTTTAAAATTTTGTACCAAGAGCCAGAAGTTGTACCTAGATTTCAACACTGCTGTGCATAATTAACCTTAAAAGACGGTAAGAAAAAGCTATGATTATTACAAAGTGAGCTATTATAGAAAATATATTATCACCTTTTATCAAACCTTTACTTCGTGCAATTGTTTCTTTTCTTATAAACCACACAATTTCAGTTACAGTTTTCTTATCAATTTAGGTACAGTTTTCTTATCAATTTCCATTAAAAATTAAAACAAGGAAGTCTGAAGTACAGCTACATATATTTATATAATACAGTATATACCCTACAGTAGTGGACATGAATGTGGATTTTTTAACCTTTGACTAACCTTGCATTAGGGAGTTACCACTGGCTGTGTGCCCTGTACATTTTAAGATTATTGTATCATGTCAGAGCACTTGACCTCTATATCTGTCCTTGGACCTTGGGTGTAACAACATGGATTTTGCCCTCTGCATATGGTGTCATGGTGGTGGTCATTTGATCAAAGTTACTTTAAAACTTTACTAATATAGAGTGGACATGAAATATGGACCTTTAAACATCTTATCTATGAGTGTGACCTTGACCTTGGAGATAGTCGCCTGTTGTTTTGCTCTGTCATAAAAGTGACCAATTGTGCCAAGTTATCTTAAAAACTTTAGTGTAGTAACAGAAACATGCACTAGAACATCTGACCTTATATGTCACCTTGACCTTTAGGGTAGCAACCTGGATGTTTTTCAAACATCATGTCTTGGTTCAAGTTGGTGGGGATCATATATGCCAAGTAATTAATAATTCTTCCGAAAAGTGAAAATTTATGGAGCAGACATGATGTGAATCTTTTAACATTTAACCTGTATGTGTGACCTTGACAAAGTGGGTAGCAACCTGGATGTTGCACTCCGCACATTAAACCATAGTTGTGATCATATGTACAAAGTTATTCATAGACATTAAGTTACAGGGTGGACACAAAATGTAGTCTTTCAAACATTTAACCTTTAAAGGTGATTTTGATTAACAAGCTTGTTGCTGCACACTGAGCATCATCTCATAATGGTCAATGGTCAGTAACAATTAGACAGACTGACACCATCATATTTTCTATGTGATGTGGGACTCCTACTTTTTCTGGCTTGGGAGTCCCTGGACTCCTATTTTGAAAGTCCTAGTGAGAACCCTGCCATGCCTATAATTTTTAACAATATAAAGAAAATCCTTTTTTGACATAATTGAACCTACACTATCGTCTCGAATGAGACGTAATCGGCGCTGTTGAACAGTCTTTTGGATACGTTTGCTATAGCTTGCGTTGCCAGCAGGTCTTGAACAGCGATGAGCCCCGTCTATTAAACAACAGATTTGGTTATGTCCAGTACCTCTTGTTTCTTCCTCTGTACTGAACCCATTCATAGCAAACCTAGAAAATATACAGAACAGTACTCTGATTTAATTTGTCCTTTAACACTGACTTACTCATAAGACAATCTTTCATTGGCTTAGTCATTAAACAAGAGGGCCATGATGGCCCTGAAATCGCTCACCTGTATATAGGCCCCTGGGACGGGGCCAATTTTAACCCAGGGGCTTTTTTATAACCAACTTCGTAGACACCCATTAGAAGATGTTTCATGATACATATCTAAGCTCAAGCTCTTTAGGGGTTTTTAAAAGAAGATTTATTAAGTTTTTACTATAGACATATAAGGAAAATCAGACCCCTGGGGCCAGGCCAATTTAACACTGGGGCTTTTATTTGAAAAAATTTGGTAGACACTCACTAGATGAGGTTTCATGCTTAATATCTAAGCTTTAGCTCTATGGGTTATGGATTTTTAAAAGATTTTTTAAGTTTTTACTATAGAGATGTAAGGAAAATCTATACCACCGGGGCGGGTCAATTTAGTTCCAAGGGCTTTTATTTGAACAAACTTGGTCCAATATTTAAGCTCTAGCTCTTTCGGTTTTTTAAAAGAAGATTTTTTAAGTTTTTCTATATACATAAAAGGAAAATCAATGACCCCCCTGGGTGGGGCCAATTTTGACCCCATGGCTTTTATTTGAACAAACTTGGTAGACAATGTTTCATGCCAAATATCTAAGCTCTAGTTCTTTCGTTTTTATAAAATACTAGTTAGATTTTTTAAGTTTTTACTTTATACATATAAGGAAAAGCAATGACCCCCTGGGGTGGGGCAAATTTTGACCCCCGGGCTTTTATTCGAACAAACTTGATAGACACTCACTAGAAGATGTTTCATGCCAAATATCTAAGCTCCATCTCTTTGGCTTTTTAAAAGAAGATATTTTAAGTTTTTTCCTTTCGGTTGCCATGGCAACCAGAGTTCTGCATGTTCTGCATGGAATTAAATTCTTTGAACAATTTTTAAGGTGACCACCAAAAGACCATTCCTGCGAAGTTTGGATGAAATTGGCTTAGCGATTTATGAGGAGATGTTGTTTAAAGTAAAAGTTTACGGACAACGAGCGGACGGATGCCCGATTAAAAGTGATCACAAAAGCTCACCATGTCACTTTGTGACAGGTCAGCTAAAAAAAACAAGCAATTATCATAGTATTGCAAGCAATCCATAAGTCCCCTACCGGTTAGAACCCCAGCAACATTTTGATGGACCATTGGCCATTCAATTTTACCAGAGGATGAATGACATGAATGAACTTAAATCTTTTGCGTTCTAAGTTTGTCTATATCACAGTAATGTGTTAAGTTTCCCTGCCTAGTAAGGAAATTATGTTTAGACAACCTTGACATATAATTATGATGTGGGATTTTAAAGTTAATCCTATAAGGAATAAAGAAGTTGGAGTGAAAAATACCAATTTCTCAAAAAAAATCTAAGTACAAGGGGGGATAATTCTGGAAATAGTCTTGCTAGAGTATTTAACCTTCTCAAAAATGTTGAGTGATAATACGAAACATATATATGAAGTTTGAAGTAGATACATTAGGAAATAAAGAAGTTATTTAAAAAAGACAACATTTTTTTTCATAAAAATTCTAAGTTCAAGGGAGGTAATAATGATAATTTTTGTGCTAGTGTTGTAAACCTTGTCACATATGATGTGGTTGATGGCCAGAAACTTATATTTAAAGTTTGAAGTAAACACCTTAAGAAATAAAGAACTTATAGTGAAAAAGCTGAAAAATTTAAATCAGAAATCTTGAAATTCAGGCTATTTGTTGCCATAGCAACCAGAATTTTCAACATAGGAAGAAAAGAAAAAGATGTGCATAATCTCCAGACTACCATCTACCCATATTTCAAGTTTCATAAAAATATTTTCAGTACTTTTTGAGTTATCACTGGATCCAGTTTATGTGTTAAATTTGCCATATTTTCAGACTATTTGTTGCCATAGCAACCAGAATTTTCAACATAGAAAGAAAAAAAAAAGACGTGCATAATCTCCATACTGCCATCTATCCATATATCAAGTTTCATAAAAATATTTTCAGTACTTTTTGCGTTATCGCGGGATCCAGTTTTGTGGACGGACGGACTGACAGACAGACTGACAGACGGACAGACAGACGGACGGACAGACGGACGGAGGGTAAACCTAAAGTACCCTCCGGTTAAACCGGTAGGGGACTAAAAACAGAGCTGCCAGTTTGCTCAGTTCATCAACTTACTCATAAAACAAGAACTTGAATAATGTAATAAATCACAAAGAGGAATATTTCATTCACAATGCATGACAACTGAACATTAAGAGTCACAAGTTCATAAAGGGCTATAATTCAGTAAAAGTTTGGTACCGCCAGAAATAAAATACCACGAGTTTTTCCTAAAATCCACGGTATAAACCGCGGTATATCATGGATTTTCATTGTACACTATAGGTAAAATTTTTATCCCTAAAATCAGTATCAAGGTAGGCTGGTATAGAATTTCAAATATTAAATTTAAGCAGATCTATAAAATACAGATTAATCAAAGCATCATTTAACTTTTTTTCAATCAGGTACTTTCGACAAAATTCAAAAACATCAAATATGCTACGCATGTTGACAATCATCAATTAATTGGGTCATGGATCAGTTCTTGTTTTTTTATTTATTTCATATTGGTCTCTTTCAACATTTAACAACTGTTATATAAATTGCATAGTTAAAATGGAAAAATAAAATGTTTTTGTTGCTTATTGATTAATGAAATAATAGATCACATGCACGTTAGCCGATGACAAATATTTTTTGTCGGTTATAACAGAGTCCCAGTTGCTAATTGCAAGACCTAAGTATTTAATCCGTGTCAGAAACCAAAACAAACATGTACCCCAAAAGCAAATTAAAATTATCACATAGAAAACAGCTGACCATGTTACTGCTTAATTAATATTCATTAGTTGAACAAACATTACTTTTAATCCAGTTTCTGCGCCTTTCTATAATAAGTTAATTGCCATGTGCATGCAGTAAGTGCGTGACGTAAGGAAAATCCCTAGCCTGGTTGGTCTCTATTTATATAAATACTTAAAATGGTAACACCCTAATTTTATGCATGGAATGCCCTAATGAATGATCAATCTTTACGATTAGTTTTCCTATCAAATAAGCGATTTTTGGACAAGTAAAAGTAAGTCAACATTTTTTTTGCTTCTTCAACTGAGATCATGCAAGTCGACAATTCTGGCTTACATGCGGTAATCGATAAAGCATTCAATTTTCGCTAAGAACTATTGGGGAATGATAACAGTTGGCGAAAGTTGTTTGCAAAAAAGTTAATTCAAAGAAATATTGACATGTACAACAGAAAATGATTTCATTTAGTACATTTTATGGATCTGTAATGGCTTTAAATTAGAGCTTAAAGTACCGGTTTTCCAGGTCTGTACCGCGGTACGTACCCCAGATGTCTCGGACCTAGGTTTACCGGTATACTGGTTAAACCGGGCACCTCTTACTATGAATGTGTATTTATTTGATGCTGAATAAAAATTGTTCTTTAAAAATGAAGTTGATGTGTTTTTCTGTTAAGAAAGGTTTCTATACCTTTTTCAGGTATTTTAATCCAATCAACACCTTCATTGCAAGAGACTGAAGTTACATTGTTGTGATCAATTGATAAACACCTGTAATTATCATAAAGGTAAATTAATCAACTCCATTCATTTGTTTAAACAGAGAATAAAGTGCTTTAAAATATGTTCTAGTTTGTCACAAAAGTGTTCAGGTACAAATTTAATATCAGATATATATGCAATAATTTACACATAAAAAAACACATAATATTAATTAAATTAAATGTTTTAAACTTGATAAAAGACTACTTAAGAATGCTACAGACAAAGTTTGGTGACTATCCATCAAATAGAAGATGATGTTCAAAGGTTTTTTTCTAATTTTAGCTATGTTGACCCCTAAAAGGGGCCAATTGAAATTTCATGAGCAAATTTAAGTGTGACTGTCACATGGATGCTACAGACCAAATTTGAGGTAAATCTGTCTATCACTTTCAGAGATGATTGTTGATGCATGACGGCGTATGACGGACGCCAGAGTATCCCCTTTGATACTAAAAGCTCAACATGAACCTTCAGTTCTGGTGAGCTAAAAAATTAAATTGTATCTTATCCTATAAATATGAAGGTGCGTTGAATTATTTCAACTTCTTGCCAAGCATCACAAACCTTTACAAGCCCATAATGTCTGATATACTCAGGACTTACACTTGTATTGAACATGCGGTTATCTGCTTTTTCTAAATAATTATAAATGAATCTTAGAGTTACACTATATAAATCTATTGATCATCAGTATAAAATTTGGAGGTACAGTGACAGTCTGCATCAACGCACACAGTTCACCCCCAAAATAGGGGATAAAACAGACGGGGGAGGAACTAATGGGACACAGACACTCTGTGAAAATAAAAAAATACCATCTAGCCTTAAACAGCATAAATGCATCATATACGTTCAGAAGAAAGTGACAATTACTAGTAATCATTATTGTAAAAGTACAAAACATATTCTTCAAGAATGCACGACATTCAAGCCTACTTTTATTATACATTTTGTTGCTAAATATTTTACTCACAAGACTACCTACTCCCCACCCACATTTCTCAAAATGGAGGTAACCAAAACAATGAATAGGTTTCTCGCGCAAGAAGGAATTAAACCTATAAATACGTTACGATGTAGAGCTGACTTGGTACTCACACATTAGATCTAGATACCAGGATGTCCTCACGATGGCCGGACTTAAAATCAGAGCTTGTTTTCCGATTTAAAGTTTTCTCACTTTCCTTTTCTCGTTGGATAGAAATCAAAATGGCGAAAAGGGTCAAAGGTCAAGTTTGCGTATAATCAAATACGCTCCGCCTTCTTAAAAAATCTGAATAGGTTACAAACACATTAATTCAAAATTTAAAAAAATATTCAACATGTTTAATATTAAACTTATTAGTGGATTTAAAACATTATTGAACTGAGCAATATCTGAAAAGTTTGAAAAAAATCATGTAATTGATATTTCGCGCTCTATTGACTTCATCACATGTGAGTGCAAGCTGCGTGAGCATTCCTAATTATTATGCATTGACGTCATTTATTATTCTCAAACTTCATTGGATCGCGCACCGGTAAAATTTACACTACTGACCAATCAGAATGGCTTATTTCCCCATATTCTGCAATACAGCTCGTAACGTAGCGTGGGCCTTCATTGCAAAGCTTATCAAGTTTAGCTGTTAACCGAGGTAAGAAAATTATTGTTTTCTTGTTTGAAAAAGAAATGTTAGTTCATAAGTTATCGTTGAGCATTAGAAAAATCATTTTTCTTCATCTTTGTTGACTTTCTTTTATTGATTATAATGTTTTTCATAATGCAATATTAATTTTTCTCAAGCCGGTAGCTGCATAGATTTTGATAGCCGGGCGGCCATTTATGCTTATAAATTTTATGAAAAATTGCGTTGTGAGCGTCTGTGATTTATTCGTTATTAAAACAGAGTGTAAGTTATTTTTTACCATATTGATAAACTTACATTCATTTTCAAATCATTTATGTATTTAAAAAAGTAAATCACATATTTTTAGACCGAAATCGCGAGCACTGAAAAGTTGTCTTCTTTGTCGTCGATCTCCCATAGACCGCCATAGTGAAACGCCTGGCTATGTGTTTCAATGTAGAAGCAATAGTCTCTATACAAACCCTATGTATCATACTGATAATATAGTGGTTGCGACAACTTCAAAAAATCTACCTCAAATATGAAAATCATGAATATATTTTGCAATAAGATCGTGCACAGATGATTTTTAATGGGACTTTCATTCATGACTCGTAAATCAGACATCTTGAAGTGAACTTTGAGGTCGTTCTTTCTTGCTGAATTTTCATGGCGGATTTTCCCTATTCCCTGTTGCTTTTGTATAGGAGGCTATATAAACAGTATACTATATAGTGGCATGTGAAACGGACATGACACTGGTTAGTTTTATAGCATTTGAAACTGTTTTGTTGTTGAATTAAACGACTGAAAAGGAATTTTCTTTGTCTTTTTGATATCGACAGTGTGTAAAAATGGCGGTTCTTCTATACTACATGAGGAAATATTATGCAAATTAGGTGATCAACAGAACTGAACTGTTTTGATCAATTTCAAAATGGGTAAAATGGCCAGAAATGAAGGGCTGTTTAAAAATAAAATGTTATTATACACAAATACATGTTATTTAAGGATTAATATTATGTTATTTAATGAATACTGCGGTGCATAGAAAAACCGGAAAGCACCGGATAGCACCGAAATACCGGAAAGCACTCAAATTTCTCATAAAAACATATGAAAACGTTAATTAATCGGTTTGAAAGTGTTACCAATCGATTTATTAGATTAAAATCTTTCAGAAAAATCATTTTCTAAAATATATATTGATAATTATTACGAATATTTCGGAAAATAGATATATCGAGTGCTTTCCGGTCCTGTTAAGATACATGTACATTACCGCATAGCAATATTGTTTATCAAAGTTATACATGAAAACTTTATTTTATTGGTTTGAAAGTGTTACCAAATCGATTTATTAGATCAAAATCTTACAGACAAGTCATTTTTATAAAAAATATATTGATAATTTTTACGATTATTTAGGAAAATAGATATATCGTGTGCTTTCCGGTCCTGCTAAGGTACATGTACATTACCGGATAGCAATATTGAATATCAAAGTAATACATGAAAACTTTATTTTATTGGTTTAAAGTGTTACCAATCGATTTATTAGATCAAAATCTTTCAGACAACATGTTTTTATAAATATATAATGATAATTATTACGAGTATTTAGGAAAAACTGATATATCGAGTGCTTTCCGGTCCTGCTAAGAAACATGTACATTACCGGATAGCAATATTGTTTACGCCAATTAATACATGAAAACTTTATTTTATTGGTTTGAAAGTGTTACCAATCTATTTAGTAGTTGAAGATCTATATATCATGACGTTTTTATAAATATTTTATGTTTCATTACGCGATTTTCAAAGTTGTTACAAAGTTGTATTGATTGCTTTCCGGTAATGCTAAAGTACATATACTTTACCGAATAGCACTCGAATATTTATATAAATCCACACTAATCCTTCATATTAATTATGTGAAAGTGTTATAAATTGATTAATTAAGTTGAACTTATTTCAATTAAAAATATTATGAATTAGTTACACGATTTTTCAATCTTGCTCATACCATATTTCTAATATTTTAGGTTGTGTGAAGGACAGAAAGAGGCTGTGTAAAAAAGTACCAAAAAGTTATTCAAAGCATCGAACCATATTTTTTATTATTATATTTTTATATCATGTAAAATAAAGAAAAACTTATAAATTTTCGTTCAGTTATGTCTTTATTTTTACCATACTATGTGTACCGAAAAGCAACATCAGTGGAGGACAGTAGTTGTTGTATTGTTTATCACACGTGCTAATCCTTGCTGATTGACCTTGTATATTGTAGCACAAAAAAGGTGATGATTTAATCAATTTGTACACATTGACATTAAATTAAGATAATTAGAAAATTGCTGTCCTTTACATGCACACATATGACAAAATTTTAATTGATTACCCGCATAAGTAAGTTCGAGATGTGTCTTTAAATGTCATTTTAAGCCCAACCGAACTTTATATACTACAACAACAATATATTATGTATTGATATTTTCTATCTGGAATTGCAAATTTTTCATACGTACATTGCAAACATTTTTTTCTTCTTCACATTGCCTGAAAATTTATGTTGGAAAAAATATGTTGAACATAAATATTAAGTATCAATATCAATGTATATTATATAAAATTTATATCACGACCGCAATAGTAGGTTCTAGTGTGTCTTAAGATGTCATTTATGCTCATCAGGCTATAGTCTAGCCCATACTCGAACTGAAATGGATTTACCATAATATAATATGCATTGATATTAATATTACATAAAAAAAATCTAGGGGTCTGCCTATGTATATATATTTTGTAGTTTTATATGTAAATAATAATGAGATAGATATTTGTTGATTTTGTTTTTTAAACATCACTGATTGTAAATACAATTAAATTATAAGTTTAAATGACTTTTCAATATCATATATAATACCTCAAATAATCAATCAGTTAAATACATCAAGTTGTTGTGTATTATTAACACCTCTTTAAATGTGATAATTAAATCAGCGTGTGTCCGTTCAATCAGCGTGTGCCCGTGTATTAAACGAGGCGTGAAGTGTAGCTTGATTGATTTCAATATCATACTTATTTTTCAATTATGTATGTATATATGTTTGCTAAGTTCTGTTTTATATCTGTTTACTTTGTTCTTAGTAATTAGTTTCGTTTATTTTTATTCATTGCACTGTGTAAAAAAAAAAAAAAAAAACATCACTGAAACTATTATTGTTCTTCTCTTTCTGCTATTTTGAATCCTCTTGTCTTCCATATAGCCTACAACAAAGAAATATATTAATATATTAGACAAGGTACATACATTATAAATATTTATATACCATCTGTTTGTCTGAGGTAAGAGGACCAGTGCTTTTCGGTGATGTATTACTATTACTTCACAGGACCGGAAAGCAATAATGGAATGTGCAGAACCGGAAAGCATTCGATATATCTATTTTAATATCTATTTTAAACTTTTTTTATTAGTAATATTATTTATAAAAAAATAATGTCTGAGAGATTTCTTCCTAATAAATCTCTTGGTAACGTTTTCAATTCAATACAATGAAGGTTGTACGTTTTTTTTAGGGAAAATTCGAGTGCTATTCGGTACATATACTTAACATTTTCAATTTATATGCATGGAAAAACCGGAAAGCACCGGATAGCACCGAAATACCGGAAAGCACTCAAATTTCTCATAAAAACATATGAAAACGTTTATTAATCGGTTTGAAAGTGTTACCAATCGATTTATTCGATTAAAATCTTTCAGAAAAATCATTTTTTAAAATATATATTGATAATTATTACGAATATTTCGGAAAATAGATATATCGAGTGCTTTCCGGTCCTGTTAAGATACATGTACATTACCGGATAGCAATATTGTTTATCAAACTTATACATGAAAACTTTATTTTATTGGTTTGAAAGTGTTACCAATCGATTTATTAGATCAAAACCTTACAGACAAGTCATTTTTATAAAAATATATTGATAATTTTTACGATTATTTAGGAAAATAGATATATCGTGTGCTTTCCGGTCCTGCTAAGGTACATGTACATTACCGGATAGCAATATTGAATATCAAAGTAATACATGAAAACTTTATTTTATTGGTTTGAAAGTGTAACCAATCGATTTATTAGATCAAAATCTTTCAGACAACATGTTTTTATAAATATATAATGATAATTATTACGAGTATTTAGGAAAACTGATATATCGAGTGCTTTCCGGTCCTGCTAAGATACATGTACATTACCGGATAGCAATATTTTTTATCCAATTAATACATGAAAACTTTATTTTATTGGTTTGAAAGTGTTGGATTAAATCATCACCTTTTTGTGCTACAATATACAAGGTCTTTAATCAGCAAGGATTAGCACGTGTGATAAACAATACAACAACTACTGTCCTACACTGATGACCACATTGCTTTTCGGTACACATAGTATGGTAAAAATAAAGACACAACTGAACGAAAATTTATAAGTTTTTCTTTATTTTACATGATATAAAATATAATAATAACAAATATGGTTCGATGCTTTGAATAACTTATTGGTACTTTTTACACAGCCTCTTTCTGTCCTTCACACAACCTATAAAATATAGAAATATGATACATT